TAGGCCATCAACAGTGAAGGGAGTAAGACATCCCAGTCATATTGACGGCTATTACAAATCTTTGCCAATTCCTGTCCCAGTGTCCAATTGTACTTTTCTACCATCCCATCAGACTGTGGGTGAAATGGCGTTGTTCTGGTCTTTCGTATGGCAAACAACTTGCAGCATTCCTGGAACACAGCTGATTCAAAGTTATGGCCTTGATCTTAATACAGTTCGTATGGCATACCAAACCTGAAGTTGTAGCTTCCTGATTTGGTATTGCATATGCATCAGGCCACATGGTGAAATAATCTATCCCCACACAAATGTACCTGTTTCTAGCACGAGTTCGGAGCAACGGACCACCAATTTCAACAGCCACTCTTTCCATTGGTGCGCCAACTTGATATAACTTCATTGGCAAACGTCTCTTATGCTTGGGTCCCCTTTTAGCACAACAAGTCCTGCACCATTCTTCCACATCTTGTCTCATACTTATACAGTAAAATCTCTGCCGTAGGTGACTCAATATCTTCTTAACTCCAAGATGTCCTCCTGTTAAACTATCATGGGATTGAAGCAGCACAACTTCCCGTAACTTTCTCGGTATAACTGTTTGCCAGGTCGTCACTTTCCCATCTGCAGTTTCCCATATCCGGATAAGAATACCATCTTCAGGCTTCAACTGGTCCCATTGTGTCAAGTAGTTCTTTGTCAGAGGGCTTAAGCTAGACACCCTCCCAAGCAGGGCGCAAAACACTTGCTTGTAGAAAATCAATAATTGGCTTCAAATCTTAGTCTTTCTCCTGCTCTGCTTTAATATCTATACCTGGTTCCACTTCACCATCATCGACTCCTTGAGTCACTTTGACTTCAGCTTGATGGACCTGGTTAGTTCAACCTTTCTTTTGCAGCAATGTCTGCAGTCATTTTTGCAGGGTCTTTGGCTCAGTCCATCAGAATTTCCATGAGATTTTCCTTCTCTGTATTCTATATCATAATTATACTGGTCTATCTTTCTGATCCAATGTGCCAGTTGTCCCTCTGGATTCTTTAATGATCTTAACCAATGTAATGCAGCATGGTCTGTCCTGATGGTAAAATTAGCCCCATAGAGGTAAGAATGGAAACATGTCAGACTCTTTACTATAGCAAGGAATTCCCCCCGTGTTACACAGTAGTTCCTCTCTTGTCTACTCACAACCCTACTGAAGTTGGCCACCACATGTTCGTTTTCACCCACTTTCTGAGACAATATTCCTCCAATTCCGACATTACTAGCATCACAATCCACTGTGTACGGCAGTGAGGGATTTGGAAGCTGAGGCCAATTTTTCTTTCAATGTCTTGAAAGCATGCTGGCAAGAAACTGTCCATTCGAACTTCTGGCCTTTTATTGTCAAATCATGTAGTGGAGCAGCTATAGTTGCAAAGTCCTTCACAAACTTCCGGTAATAGGTACAGAGTCCCAAGAAACTTCTTAACTTTCCCACATTGTCTGGTGTTGGCTAATCACACACTGCTTTCACCTTGTCAGAATCAGTTTGCACACCATGCTCACTTACAATGTGACCCCAAATAAAGCACCTCTTTCTGGAAAAAGTAGCATTTCTTGGGATGGAGTTTGAAGTTTGCTGCTTTCAAATGCTTAAATACTTCCTCTAGCCGGGACATTTCCTCATCAAACGTTGTTGCAAACACTCTGACATCATCCAGGTACACTAGGGTTATCCTCCATTGTAGGCCTTCCAGTACTCTTTCCATCAGCTTCTCAAATGTTGCTGGAGTCCAGGTTTGTTACAGTGCCAGCAAAGTCTCTCAAACTTCTCCAAAAACTGCCCTCTTCTGGCCTTGAATCTCGATGACTGTACCAACCTTGGTACCTCTGTGCTTGACTTAACGTAGGATTCGAATTCAAGAGGTCTGGCCATTGCATCCTGCATAGTAGAAGGGGGGTGACTGCTTTACTTGTATCTTCAGTTGTGGACTCTCCAAGGCGTCTACAAACTGATCCCTCAGCAACAGCTTGAAGATATTGGGTGGTGCAGTTGTGCCATACTTTCAAAATCCTGTGCCAGCTCTTGCAGGCTCTCCCCTTTAGCACGAACTCTAGTCCTAAACCTAGCCCTGTAGACTTTGGACTGATTTTGAGTTTCATACCCGAGTTCTAGAGCCGCTACCAGTGGTCTATGGTTGTGCCTGTTGTCTGCTGACAACTGTCCAAGTATTTCCAGTGGTGGTCCCTTCAATCTAGTTGCCAGGTACACTGCTTTCTGCTCCTCTGTCCATCCATTCATTTCTGCCAGAAACTCAAATTGTGCTCTATATGCTTCCCATGGTTTCTTCCCATCGAATTCCTGTGGCTTCCTTCATACTAGATCATCCCTATTGCTGACACTTATGTCTGGAATGTGACTTCTGGCAGGACCAAAGATGTCTGCATTAGGGTTTAGCTGCGGGGTCTGGAAGGGGTTTCCTGTTGTCTGGGGCTGATTAGGTCCATGGCTAATATATCCTCCTTGTGTAAAAGAAGAAGATGGAAACGAGAAGTGGCAAATCAAACTACAGCTTAACAGATTTGATGGCAGCAATACAAGAACAGCAAAAGAAAAAAGAAGAACGAGAAAAGAAACAAGAAGAGAGATTACAGCAGTTGTATTTAATTCACTTTGAAATTTACGAATCTTTTCCATTTGTGTATGCTGGCTTTCTCTCAACTGTTAGAGACTTTCTTTATGTTTCTGTTCCAGTTGCCACTGCTGTAGTCTCTCTTCTTGTTTCTTTTCTCGTTCTTCTAGTTTCTTTTTCCACCAACAACTGCTGTAATCTCTCTTCTTGTTTCTTTTCTCGTTCTTCTTTTTTCTTTTTCTGTTCTTGTATTGCTGCCATCAAATCTGCTAAGCTGTAGTTTG